GCGGTGGTAATGAGACGTTCAGCTGTTTCGGGCGCTCGCGGCGCGCCGTGCCGCTCCTGCCTGCCTTCTGTACTCGACGCGTGATTTGCTAACTATTTTTGCTTATAACTCAAAAATTACGCTTCAATTCAAATTTTGGTAAAGGAAAAATCGTCTTAGAATTGTATCAGGAATACGTCATTTCACGGACGGAAGGTTGTTCCGGAACACCCTGTATAAAGGAAGGTTAAGGCCGGTATTCATAGTCAGTTCTTATTTCAAGACCGTCTTAAGTAATGTCTTAAGATGCTAATACGGCTCTGTGATTGGTTAAGGACATCTTAAGATTGTGCTTAAGACGATCTTAAATATAAGAACTGACTATGAATACCGGCCTATATGTCGATATGGTTACGGTTGATGATTACGGATTGACCAATCAGAGCAAAGCAGCTTACCGGTTGATTGGTCAATCCGCAACTATCAACTGTAACCCTAAGGGTGAAAACCCATGGCAGCGGAAAAGCGTAATGCGGAACAAGAGCGGAGCAATCGTGAGCGTAGCGAAAACTGCAGAACGCTCGCGATTGGTCATGCTCTCGTTCCGCGTTAAGCCCGAATCACACTAGCGGCTCGCGGCTCCGATTGCGATTGCCTCAGCCAATCAGAAAGCACCAATTACAAATATGATTGGAGCGTAGCAAATCACAATCACAAACGCAATCGCAATCGCAGCCGCGAGCCGCTAGTGTGATTCGGGCTTTACGCTATTCCGCTGCATGAGTTCGCACCCTAACCCCCGACCGCAACCGAGCCCGCAACCCGTAGTGTAATACGGCCTTAACAGTATATACACTTTTTACTATAATAAAAAAAAAAAAAAATTCGTCGAATTTGCGTCGAATTTCAATTTCAAATTCGATAATATCAACCTGGGTTTGCGAAAGGATTATTTATAGATGAGTTCCTCCAGTTCCCCGCATCAGGCAAATGGTAAATAATCTTTGCAGCAATCGAGCCTATCGAGAGAATGTCATTAATATCTATAAATTGCTTATGAGAGGATTCATAAGGTATGGAGAAATTGGAAAAGATACAACAAACAGTCTTTAAGTATTCTCTGGTTCTTAAACAATCCATCCCCATGAATATAATCTTTGTGAAAGTGGGAATGTATAGTCAAACGATTTAAGCAGTTCAGATCAAAATATATTCTTAAATCTCTTTCAAGAATTTTTATTTGGTCATCGACAAGCTGCAAATATTATGTATAAGAACTTAGTCCTTCAATTATAATATTCATATTTCTCTGTTACACAAAATTTATATTTTCTGCAGTCATAGATGAAATAAGAAACTTCAGTTTCTCAGCTGACTTTTCTTATTACAATATTTTATGAAGAATCATAAAATATTTTACTTGGATGCCTCAAAATTGGAAACAAGACATGTGGGATTCACAGTCTATTCTTCCTTCCTGCAAATGTTATTAAGGTTCTCTTCGTATGCCTTTGTATACACTGCCAAAGCTCTAGCCATTTTACATTGTATAGAAATCATTGCTGTTAGGGATATTACCAAATTTGTCATCTTCACGTATTCTTGCAATATGATGGAGACTTTAGCTTCGATAGATCTCATCAAAAAAAAGAATTGTTATATCTTGTATATAAAAGATAAACTGGAAATGTTATCTCTGAAGAATAAAGAGATCAAGATTGTATGGATATCCGCAGATATTGGAATTTTAGGCAAAGCTTTCTAAAACTATACACAGTTTTCTTTGAATATACTGTGAAACGCAGAGCTTGTGTATATTTTTTGAGTTGGTCTTACTCAAAGCTTTATAATTTGTTTGTGGCTGTGAGAACAGAAAGCTATCCCATTCATTGCCAATAAAAGAGAAGAATATTTATCACATAGCAAACATATTATATTGAATTCTCTCCTAAATTTTGTTTCAGGCTCCAAAAAGCCAGAGGCAATAAAAAATCAAGGACGTTTGTACAGTATGAAATATTGTCCTTTTGCTCACAGAATACGACTCATACTCACTCTAAAACAGATTCCTCATGACATTGTCAATATTAACTTGCAGAATAAACCGGACTGGTATTTCCAAGTATGTAAAGCGTCATTTTTAACTAACAAATGTAGTTTTTTTTTTCTTGCTATTTATACAAATATACTTTTGTTTTAGATTCATCCAGAGGGTAAAGTGCCAGCTTACGTAGACACAGATGATACAGTAGTAACAGATTCTGTTGCAATAGCAAATTACTTGGATCAAAAATATCCTGCGCCTCCTTTATACAACGATGAAACAAAAAGTCGTGATTTAGAACTATTGGATCATTTTTCTAAGGTATTAAATACAACATTGATCTAATTTTTTTTTGTAGAATGAAACAGCCAGTTTTTTAATAAATATTTTTTTCTTACAGATTATAGAGACTTTCTCAAATTGCATACATGACAAGGATAAGAGACAATTTGAAGAGATTATAGTTGAGGCAATGGATAATTTACAAGAATTTGAAAAAGAGCTTGGTATACGCAAGACACTTTTTTTTGGAGGTTTGCATAACTCTTCTTAGTTTTCTTTCTTCAGACATCTCTTTCCAGAATTATTAATTTATGTTTTGTCTATTAGTTTTTGGACTCCGATAAATAAGAGATTTGTATCTTATAAAATATTAATGTTTACATTTTTTAAAATTCTTATTTTATAAAATGTTTGTTTTAGGAAATAATCCTGGTATGTTGGACATTCTAATGTGGCCCTGGTTTGAGAGTGCAAAGGCTCTGACTATACTTTACAAACAGCGTGCAAGTCTTGACAAGGAGAGATTTCCTAATCTTGTAAGTATACAATATCTAATATAATTCTTTATATTTATCAACAGTTTGGGTTTAAACATTTATCACAGTTTGATCTTAAAGATTTGCTCACAGCAACTCACAAGCAACACTGTTTTCAAAACTCATATTTTTAACATCATATAATATAAATAATTTTCTTATTTACATGAAAATTATTTGTTAATATTATCAAAAGTAATTGTCTATAATAATAATAATAATAATAATATTAATAAATTTGTTAACGAGAAATCTCATTTTTCTAACAGCAGATCTATTTGAATTACAATTTAACATATGCCTCTAGCACAAAATTACATTAATGGATTTTTCACACACATTCGCATTTGAAAAAATTAATTATATATTAATCACACTGTTTGCTCTATATCAGATGGATTGGTTGGATGAAATGAAAAGTCAGTGGTTTGTCGAGGAACACAAATGCTCCTATGAAAAGTTTGCAAAATTTATAGAAGCTTCAAAAGCGGGAAACGTTGATTACGACAATATTTAAACGCATTTGCGTAATATATCGTAAAATGTCGTAAGAATAAACATCGCTTAGTATAAATGACATATTAACATGACAGTATTAACATTCCAATGGTATTAACATCGATAATATAAAAATAGTATTAACATTGAATACTCTTCCTTATCTCATTTGATTTGTACGTATTCAATTTTGTAAGTTTAATATATAATAATTAATACGTAATATTTTTATACTCTCTCTTTTTCAAATATACTGTGCATATCATATGTAGCGGCAACGCTTTTTATAATTTATTTATAACTATTACAATACTGCTTGATGCGGTCTAATTTAGATAAAGTAATTTAGTATTAAACATAATTAAAAAAGATACTTCACACATTATTAAGAATAACTACATTCTCTACATTTTAACAAGGTACTAACGGAGCACATAACTGTACTCTGCTATATTGTAATTATAATAATCACTGTTAATGTAAAGTGTAAATTATAGCATTTATAATATACGTTGATCTCTTATTATTTATTTGCTCTTTAATCAATAATAAACTTTAACACACAATAATAAAGCTTTAATGTATATAAATACATTCCATGTTTTTACAATTTGTTTTTCTACGTTTGTGTTCTTACACCGTTATTTCAAATGATAAAAAAATATTATATGGTTTTTTTGTTTGAATATTTACAGTTAATAAGAATAATATAAATAAATTGAATTCTATTTTTTTTACTGCACGTGGTTTGATACATATTAAAATTGTTCGAACAATTATCACGAGAAGTTTGCTGCTCTGATTATTTCGATACTTTGAGAATCGCAATATGCTTGCATTTCGATAAATTTTTCGATAGTCTATGCTGTGTCTATATATGCATATGTTCAAATCGTTGCGTATTTTTCACACATTATTAGTGTTAAAAAGTGAATCACAGACACAAAATCATCACAAACGTCTTTCGTACAGTATCAGTTCGTCTGTGTTACATTAAAACGTGTACAGAATTAAACCCGTGTATTCAGAATCAAAACTCTTCTCGTACATTACACGCACTGTGATCTTCCTAGGCAAAGTGCGGGAAAAAGACAATTGTCGCACGATCATTGCCAGGTATGTTGCATATATCGTTTTATATAATTAGTGCTATCGATATTATACTTTCTGCATTTTCACATATTGTAATAAAAATAATATTTTCGAATTATTATATTATATTAAAAATAATACTGTCGTTGATATAATTTCATATATTTTATTTAATAATTAATATTAAAAAAAAACATTTTTTTACATTTTCACATTTGAAACTGATAAAAACATACTATGGAATATATTATGGAAATAATATCTTATATATTTTTTTCTTTGTATATCTCTATATCAAATAATATATCATTATTGTTTTGATTTTTGATTATAATATATTTTAAATCTATAGTTAAATTTTTGAACAAAAAATTTATATTAAAATTATTGCGATATATTATTGACAATCAATTCTGTTAAAAATCTCCAATTATCCCGGCAATTTTTCATGTGAGCTTTTTTATTATTTTATATATTATTTTATCAATAATACAATATCTAAATGCGCCTAGCATAAATTATGCACACATTGAAAAGAATTTAGAAATTATATTAAAAAGTTTTTAATAAAGCCAGAATTTATATTGCTACATAAATATTTTATCGTATTTAAAATTATAATATTATTTCTTACACAATTTTACATTATTCTATGTAACGAGAATTTGTTAGTCTACAAACTGTATAATAAATTAACTATAAAATTTGAAACAAATTGAATTAAGTATCAGAATTGTTAAGGAGAGAAACACCACTTCAATATCTCGTTTCAAACGATAAAACTCGTATTTGTAGCACCGCATAAATGTATATCTAAAATCATACATATCCACGCTTCTATTTTTTTTATTATCTTCTATTTCTTTTTTCTACGAAACAAATATATACATATATATCATATCATTGAAACATATCTCTTAAGAACACGTTTCGAGCCGAAAGCTTTACAAATTATATGTGTACTTTAAAAGTACCTAGCTACATGAAGTAATTTTTTTAAATCGTGACCGGATACAAATAGCTCTTAAAACAGTGTAATCCGTAATAGCATATAATATACACATTACACAATTTCTGAAATATTTCTCAAACAGCATAATAGACTTATATGTCTGGAAAGATATTATCCCATGCTATCGTGTTAAGTCATTTAAGGCGTTTAAGGCAAGATCTTAATTTAACACCATTTCAATTTAAAAAATATATAATAAAATTTATATAGTTAATTTACTTTCAAAGATTCAAAAAATTAGTTAGTGTATCTTGATAGCGATCTTTGCTTTTGAGATCTAAAATAATCAATTTCTACACTCTCATGTATTTTGCGTGAATTATAGCTTTCAAAATAAAATTAAATTCCTGAATTATCAATTAGTAACAGAATTTGATTTTTATTCAGTTTTTTTAAGTGGACTTAATTATTGGAACTTTAATTTATAACTTAGTTATTGAAATATCTAATATCTTGAAAATTAAAAGAATTATGAAAAAAGATGACCAAATGAATAATTCTTATAAAAAAAAATTGATATGCAATTTTTTGACCAAAGAAATTACGGTTAAAGCACGTTCGGTTTGGTGTATCTAGTAGTATAAACACAGTTTACATAAGACATATTGACGAACATTTTACAAGCGAATATAACTTACTCCTCTGTAACTAAAGCTAAGGCAGGAAGAATATACTAAAAATGTACATATTGAGTATGTTGTAAATTTACTTTTTTTCTTATATCAGTGGTTAGGTATCTGGCGTTATCAACAAAAAATGAACTTACCAAAAATTTAAGAAAATATTCGAGATGTATCACAGATTTTTATTATATTATATAGGTTACTTCTATTTATATTTTTAGAGCACCGATATAACAATATTATTTTATTAATATTTTAATAATAGCATTTAATTAATATTAGCATTTAATTATTCATAATTAAATTATGAATAATTGATTGCATTATGTAATTGCTTATCATATACATATACTATAAACCCAATTTTTGTTGATAACGCGTTCATATTATTAGACATTGCCGATCTATATTTGTTATGTGTTTTTGTCTTATATAAATTATTATAAGTCGACGTAAATCTTTACAATTCGTTATAGATGGTTAAACAATTCTTTGCAATTCATTGCTACTTTCAATGTGATGCACAATTGGTTTTAATTTGTCTTTATTGACGTTTACTTCACAGGCGGATAGTGATTTTTAGGTATCTATATTTGATAATTCTTACATAAGAATTCTATAAAAATTAAAGAAAAAATAAAAAGATGTTTTATATATATGTGTGTGTGTGTGTGTGCGTGTGCGTGTGTGTGTATGTGTGTGTGTGTGTGTGTGTGTTTTTAATATATAGCTTTAAAAAAGCGACAATTATCTTCAAATAAGTTTATTCTATAGGGTTTTTCAGCAATCGAAAATTAATTGCTAATGTCTCATTTTATAAACATATATTCATTATTATGCAATACAAAATAAATTATATTTTTTTGTGTGAATTGTTTTTTTTTTATCCTGAAAATAAACACTTTACTCGAAAGAATTTTTTGAAAGTAAATTTATATATTATTTGTTATTATAATATTATTGTGTAAATTGAATTAAAATAACGAGACACTTTTAATTCCCGGTTTTTATTAAAATTCGAGTATCTATACATTTCTATATTTTTCAAATATAAAAAAAAATAAAGGAGATCACAAGAGATACTCTTCCCTTTTTTTAAATTAACTAATTTAATTTGCAATAGTCAATGTAGTAAAAATGAAACGCGATTTTTTAGATACAAGGTAAGAGCTGTCTATTTATATATAATAATTCTAATCTGAATCTGAGATCTTTAAGAGAGAAAAACAATTAGATTCATATATATCATATACAACCAAAGTTTTTCATATTATGCAGACTATAATGAATAAAGTTTTATTAACTTCCGTAAAGAGACAGATATCTATCCCTATGCAGTACTAATTTTTGCTGTGAATTACGATTCTGAAATAATCTGCGCGATTCATCCTAATTATGGAACAAGCAAAGTGTAGGCGGTACATATCAACGGATATGTGTATAATTATCACCAGATAGTGCATTTATTAGCGGGGTTCATTTTTGTTCCGAGTGGACAGCGAAACGCTTCCGCGAACGCTTGAGAATTCATCATTATACCGTTGATTCTGAAAATGTACAAATTCCAATCGTTATTTAAACTTTATTCGCAATATTATTTGATTTTGATAACAAGTCAGGAAAAGCGAAAAAAACTTCATATACCTCTCTGGAGGTAGGCGATAGTCGGACTTAACGGAGGAGACATAGGCCTCGGCAGTCGTGTTAACGCAGTACACCTAAAAACAGAACGTCGATATAACATTAAATTTTTATGTTGATATATAATGTTTGATATATGAATTTAAATGAGAAAAGAAATATAGCTAATAAAATAAAATATCAAGAGAGCAGTATATCTCGATGCTAAAAATATGTACATAAAAGTAATGATTTTTTAAATTCTACTCTAATTTTTTTAATTTCTATTTGTTGCTATATACAGCTTTGGATATTCTTTTTAGAAAGAATTTTTTAGGAATATAAGATATCTCATATATATATTTTTATAATAAGTTCACGAGCGATAGAGAAAACATTATCTTTATTCCGAAAATATAGAATATATTAGAAATAAATAGAAAAAGCGACAGATCGTTACCTGAGCGGCACTTATAAAGAAAAGTTGGGTTGGACGAAGCCCTTCCAGCCCAGGGAGACTTCGATCTTTCCCGTTCGTCAAAGTGTGCCAGGTTCTGTGAGAGATTTGTAGAGCCCCAATATCCGCAACAATCTCGTTTCTCGTTATATTCCAATCGAACTGCGTAAATCCAAAATTAAAATTCAAACAATATATTTCTATTTCACTTATTTTTCACGAATGGCACCTTTGTGTTTTGCCCCGAACGTAAATTTATAATGTACCTGCACAGCAACATCACTTCCGTAAGACTGAACCTTACGCCAGAAATTCTTAGCGTAGAGTCGCGCGACACACTCTATCCTGGTCTCCAATCGTTTCCAAGAGTCCGGCCTGATCCAAAGCCATTCGTCAATATTTAAATCTGGATCTATGGGCGATTTGCGACGGTGAAAATCAAAGGCATGAAGAATCTCATGAGCGATGACTGATCCTAGCGTAGCGTGAACCGCATAAGCCGGTCCACCGTCCCATGACCATGCCCAGGATGTCATCATAACCAATGGAATTCCTTTCATGTTTTATAACCAGAGTAACTTTAAATTGCTCAATATCGACAGTGTGCATGGGGAATATTTTTTGTTAAATTCTAAATTTCATTATAGATTTTGCATGTTCTTAGTAATCTTGGGACGACTTGGTATATATATAAATATTATAGATAGCTACATGGTAAAATTTCCACACATTTCTTTCTAAATATAGATTGTTTTTAATATTATCAATTATGTCTTATATTTTTATTACTACTCCGCATCTTTTTCTATTTGAAAAATAAAACTTAATAAATTCTTATTAGTTTATTTATAAATTCTGTAATATTTAAAAAAATTAATGTTAATAATAAATTATTGAATTATATAAAATACTTAAAAATATTGTTCCATGATTAATATTATTTTTAGAGTAAATTTTTAAAAAGTGTTCTTTCCATATATATATATGTTTGTTTGTGTATAATAATAATACTTACTGATAGTGTTTGTTGAAGATTCGTAATAGGCGTGCACAGAATAAGGATAATGACATCTGAAAATTTAAATCCATAATTTGTACTAAGAAATTGAAACCTTTAACAAATTCGGTTGATCTTGTAACTCGTAGAGGAAGAGATTAGAAATTAGACAAGAGTTCTCTTTACCTTTCTATCGCATTTTTTCGTAACGGACTTGGCTCCTCTGATCTCCGAATTTGACGAAATCTTCTCAGGACGGTAGCGATAAAATCATCCGAATCGATCACGACCTGTAAAAGGACAATTCTGTTTAAAGATACCAGTGCGAAACAATGGGAAAAATTTGTATCGTAAGCTATCGCATAGACCATATTTCTTTTAGCTGAACGATTATTTCTCAAAATCGTCTCACCTCGGCCATCTCGCGATTCAGCAAGGTATCGTTATAGAAAGCAGGCGACACTTGAAATCGACCCCGTAAGGAATTCAGTTTTAATAATGCCTGTGTTCTAGTATCATCGTCAAACCACGACTTCACTAATATACGTTCGGCTATCGTTTCTTTCACGCGTTTGAAAAGTACAGTCACCTGCGAATGATATCGTTAAAACGAAAGTTGTATGATAAAAAGAGAAAAGGGAATTAATTATTTATTAATTGAGGAAATTAAGTCTAACTATTAAATATAGTACTTTGAAGAATATCGCTTATTGTTAGAATAGACATTTATAGGCATTATAAGCAGTATACGTATTTATCATTTTAAATTCATTGAGAGATAGTAATTAAAAGATTAAAGTTAAATCGATAAGTTAAGAATATTACCCTGTTAATCAAAGTCTCCAAATATTTTGGCGTGTACTGTCGCACGTAGAGCGCACTAATCGCTTCGCTAAAAACGTTTCTGGTCAATCTGTAACAGGCAGCTTCCCAATCTTTAGTAGCGTTAACGTTCACAATATCGTGCAACATGTCCACGGCGTAGAGTAACAGCAATCCGTTATGAATAATCCTTCGTAATTTATCACAATTATAATCAAATAATCAATATGAGTGTATTATAATATACGAGATATAATTATATAATTTACGAGATATAATTATAGAGAATATAAAGTATATTGAGGGGGTATAATATAAACCTTTTGTTTTTCAACTAATCGATAGTATTGTTATCGATTTTCCCCAATACTAACTGATAATAGCCAATCCCACTATATGAGAAAGTTTATATTTAATTTAATTTAATTTTAATTTAATCAAAATATATATAATTAAATTTATAATTAATCAATTTCAGTTTAATTTAATTAAAATTTATTTATTTGGATTTATAATTAATTAAATTCTGTTTAAATTAATTAAAATATATTTAATTGATTTAATCAAGTTAAATAATTAATAATTAATCAAGACATTTTAGTACAAATTAATTTGGTTAAAATATGTGCGTATTATGCTTGCGTGAGAAAATACCGATACGATAAAGATCCGTACCGTTTGGAGGAGCGATTCAATAACTTGCCGAGGTTACGCAAATAACGTGGGGCCGTGACGTAGACGTAGATCTGTTGATCCTCAGATGCCGGCGGAGCATATACGTGATTTGTGTCATTATCATCGTGCAGATCGATACGCGGGCGTAACGTTGTATTCAGCAACGATTTCCATCTTATCTATATTCCGGAATAGAATAAATCAAGTCATTGTTTTATTTCAAGAAAAGACCACTGTAAACTATCCGCGTGTAATGTAGGTAAAGGTGCCACTTGACAAGTGTCCTATTATGCTTTTCAATGAGATATTTATCGCATCTCTACTTTAGAGATTAAATTTGCACTTTTACTTTTTTTCTTTCAATTATATACAGGATTAATTCGTATACATAATTATTAATGCAGATAAAAATGTAAAATACTTATTAAGTCGGTATATACATACGTAACTAAAGTTTTCTTGAAGATAAGACACGTTATAGGCAACGTATACTCTCTGATCAACGTCCACCCAGTTGTATAAGTCTTTGTGCTTTGGATAAATCTGGAACAATGAATGCGGTTCGCCCGCTATTTAATTCATTCATACACACGCTACAACTTTCTTTCATTTTATCCTCACCTTTTCTAGTGATAAGCAAAATTGCAACAGCAGATTCGTCTCCGACGATTGTTCCTTAAGACTCATATTTTTTGGCAAGAATCCTCGAACAATCTTTTGAATTCTACCCGATCTTTGTACATCTTCGTTTCTCTAAAAAAAATTGTTTATATATATTTTTTTTTAAGAATTAACGATTTAAAAAAAGCAAAAATTAGAGACATAACACTTTATTAACTGTTTTAGTAATAAACTCTATAAATTTGAGTGAAGCTATCGAATAATATTCACCTGATCTCCTGTAAGAAACTCGTGACTTTGATGCTTGGTAGGAAGATCAAGATATACGGATGACTTTGTGCGATCGTAAAGATCTACGTCGACGTGTAAGTCGAAGAGAGGCGCGCCGTTTACTTTAAGCAACGCGGAGATCAGAGGAGTGATATCGTTCAGTATCTCCCTTTTCGGCGATAAATAACCACCTAGTTCGTCTAAAAGGTTATAAACTGAAACAGAGAATGCATTAAGATTTTTTTCTTATCGCTGTATAAGTTTGGGACATTTCCCAAAATACAATAATAATATTAGGCGTATACTCGAAAGCGGCTCAAAATTTTTCATTCGCTTCAGCAGAATCGAAATAAAGAGATGATTTTTCGGGAGATTTTTCAAATCCATCCCTTCATTTGATTATTTTTGTCTAGTGTAAGCATGCGTGTGATCCCTCACGCATATCTATCAAGATATCAATAGTAAATAATAACTTACCGAGTGTAAAATTTACGGGTCTCTTCCTGAACTCTCGACAAACGTTATAAAATTGTCCAAGTTTTTCGAAGGCGGCAACCATTTGTCCTGTCTCGTTCGCCAACGTTTCTAAAAACAGTTATATATAAAATTTCTTTGATATTATTTTTGTTTCCTATTAGATGCAGGATATATTAATATATTCTTAATTTATTAATATAATATACCATTATACATATTTAAAATGTAAAATTTATTATCAAGCGTTTAAACACACGAAATAAGAGAATATAAATCTAAAGGTCGGGATAATGTGTAAGACCCTGACCTCAACCGAGGATGAGCTTCGAATATTCGTTTCGAAACCTTACTACTACGGCTTCGCGTTGACATGTATTACGACGTATATTGTGAGTAATTGTAAGCATGACTTGTCGTTTTGGGCGATAATTTCGCAATTTCTCGCGCTTGAGTAAAATGATTTAAATTTGTCATCTTAATTTTTCAAAATTTTTCTTTTTTCTTCTATTTAATTCGAGATTATCTCTCTTTGTTATCATAACGTAAAATTTGATTAAATCCATTGCGCTAGATTAAGCGTCGATCGTAAGAATTCAGCTCGTTTGTCGTTAAATACCGATTTTCTACCTTTTATCTCGAACTAAGCTTACGATCGATATAAATTACTCATGAATTCTCAAGGAACTTAATGTTTCCAAGCTACTTAATGTTTCATATCGTATAAGTAAGACGATTACTTATTCGCGTCACGTCATATACGCTCTGCACATTTGCAAGCTATCTCGTGTATCGTATTCAATGTAACATAGAGATTATATTAGGCCGCGATATCCAATGTCCTGCGTCTCTAATGGAATTTGGCATACAAATTTTAAATTTTCGAATTTAAAGAAAATTGCCTTTTCCATCTATTGGTGTAACGATAAATAAAAAACCCACCAAAGGCGCACAATTACGCGGCTGCTCTCCCTCCGGCAGGGTCGTGATGAGGAAGAGCACCGGGCTGGTGACCAGGAGACTGGTGACCAGCAGCATGGCGAATGTCCTGCGTCTCTAATGGAATTTGGCATACAAATTTTAAATTTTCGAATTTAAAGAAAATTGTATTTTCCATCTATTGGGTGTAACGATAAATAAAAAACCCACCAAAGGCGCACAATTACGCGGCTGCTCTCCCTCCGGCAGGGTCGTGATGAGGAAGAGCACCGGGCTGGTGACCAGGAGACTGGTGACCAGCAGCATGGCGAAGGTGAGGAGCGCCTTGTGCACGGCCTTGCTCCTTCTCAGCCAGTAACAAGGCGCGCAGCATATCCATGTACTCTGGTGGTGCCCCGATCTTTCCACATTGACCATCGGCTCGTCGGGTCCTAGCCCGGCGTCCTCCGCAACACCGCCGCCGCTGGCAGCCAGGGTCGCGCCGTGCACCCCGGGGCCGCGTGAGCCGGCGGCCCCGGAAGTGCATAAATTGCGAGGGCTCAAGGGCAGCCGCGCGCCCGCCTCCCCCCGCGTCAACTTGGCCGATGCGACTCCACCGCCACCGCCACCAGCACCAGCACCACCGGCACGGGCCCCGCGGGCCCCGTAACCCCGGCTCACCGTGCACAGAGCCACATTTGCCGGGTCCCGTCGTACGTCCTGTCCCTAAACCCCGAGCGTCGATTCGTCGTCGTCCTCGTCGTCCGATCGTCGTTCCCTCGAGTCTCTTCGCCCCGTCAGCCCCCGACGACACGGGGATGCGGCGTGAATGCACGACACTGGCTCTCACCAAGTGAGCAGCTCGGGCTGAAATAAAATTTGACGGCAATTTGTGATTCCACGTGAGAAATTGCGCGCTCGATTCTATCGCGAGAAGTTTTACTTAAGATTGTGGGGTTGCGCGTCTTTTTCTTCGCAAACTTCGTATATTCACTCGATAAGGATATTATGATTACATGGAGTTTTTCGCTACAGATTATTTCTTTAGTTTATCTAGAATAGATATTTTTTCAAATTTTAATTAATAATTGAAAGTAATGAACCTCAAGTAGAGTAAGTAAGCTTTGGTAGATAAAATTTAATTCGAATCTCATAAAAATATATAAGCAAGGTTAAAAATGTTGAAAAGACACGATAAATTAAGACCTTTGTCGATATTTTTATTGAGAGAGATCGTTTTCTAGTTTTTATAAAAAAAGTTATCTACTTAAAAAAATACCTAATAATTTTAAAACAATCTTTATTCGGGTAAACTTTTACTTGTGCGTATTCTGTTGCGAAATTCTGTTGTACATGAAAATGTTTGAGAAAAAGCACTTCTGTTCTGGCTCAATGAAAAAATATTTTGCAATATTTAAAAATTCTTCATCGTGATTACATCAGAATTTACATAATAAAGTTGCAAACTTGTAGATAAACTGGTTTGTATATTAATTAATAGAAAACAGTTTGTTTCACGCGAGAAATTTTGCCAAGAAAATCTATGCGAAAAATTGAACGCAAATCAAGCGCGGATCGCGTGCAGTTGCGTTTATTGATAGAATCGATCAAGTCGAAGAGAAGTCTAAGACAAAAGTGAATTTTTTATTAAGTTCTTTCAAGGAATATTTTGTTTTCTTTCGCAATCCAATTTAATTTCCAATAAAATTATTTAATTTGAGATTTTTTTTTAAGAACTTGAAGATTAATTTACTTGGAAATTATATAATTTTATACATTTTCTCTTTATATATTCGACAAATATTTTGCAACTTATTCACTATAGATTTATTCTTTACAGCAACTACAATTTTTAAGTAAACGATACTCACGTGAATTTTCAACGAGGATCGGACGTTCCGAAAAGCGAGATTCACAATTTCGCTCGTCGCGTCTCTTTGCACTTCACTTTGGATCGAGCGCGAGGAATTATAAAAACGCGATGTGCACATGACGTGCTTGTTCGAAAGTAATAATAATCGACGAATATATTATCGCGAAATCTACGGCCCTGATTGATCAACGTTCGCGGCGCGACGGTCCTCTGTTCTTTGAGAGTTGACAGTAACACGCGGCCTGTCAGACTGAACTCGGACCTCGAACATTCTCGCTCTAAAACCACCCCGTTTTTCTACCCCTTCCTACTCCGTCGCGTCTCGCGATTCCCTCCTCGTTTTTTCTCTTCCGCGTGCATCCTCTTCCGCGCGTCTGATGTTTAAACTTATAAAATGTTTTAACTTTTTATGATGCGAGATTTAATATATCTTTGTTGCATATCAATAAATGTACATCAATAAATATATTGCTTTAAAAATTTTTTGACGAACAATTTTTTTTTAATGTATGTATTGCTGGAATATTTGCGCTTGTAACAGATTCTACGGTGATTCTCGCAGTGTTATATGTCCTGGTGATGGGAACGATGAGATCAGATAGAAAAGGGACGGATGTGGTAATAAATGATATATTGAAGGTACACTAGATAAAAACGATGCCAGCCAAAAAATACAGATTTTATTCATCCACCTATAACGCATACACAATAAAGTCGATTAAATCCATTTTTCAACTGTAAGATATATGTATATATATGTAATGAGATATATATAAAATATACAGAGCGTAGGGCGTTTGACTTTATGACTCGGTTATTAATTTATTTTAACTTTTATGACTTGGATTATTTCTATTGCACCCGCAATCATCGAAAAATGTCTTGAACGGAGAAATAATCTACATCATAAAGATTAAGTGTCTCGCTCTGTATATAACATATACATTAACTCGGCGGAATCCTTAGATAATTTGGAGAAACGAAGATGTACGAAAAAAATGTCAGAGCTACAATACCTTCTCGAATGAGAAGCGATTAAAGTTAATTCGAACTTTAGCCACTGTAATCGCTTAACTTTATAATCGTTTGTCATCTTAAAAATTTCAGAAAGTCTCGACGTTCTTTCGCATTAGAATTTTCGTTTCAAAAAATTGTTCAAGAAATCTGTCGCTTAATAATGCGACCAGCGACAGGGATATCCTTCCTATACACACATATACATATACGCATATTTTAGTTATATATATATATATATATATATGCATTTATATTTATATAATTTAATGTAATGTTCAAACTCTCTGTCCGCTACGATTTCTAAAGTACATCATCTACACATGCGGATTCTGTAGCATCCGTATTTCGCGTTCTCGTGTTCGTCACGGACGTCCTCGCGTATCTCTCTTCGTCGCTCGCTTTAAGTTAAATGAGCGAACAAATCAAGATATTAGATTCTCTCTCTCTCTCTCTCTCTCTCTCTCTCTCTCTCTCTCTCTTTTTCTCTTAAGCACACATCAGAGACAGAGTCAAATCAAATGAATACTCTTTATGAAGCATCGATATTTAAGCCTTAAGCATCGGCAGCGGGGCGATCTTTGTCATTCAGGTGATATTCAGAGGAAAAAATCCGTAAGATGACATTTCTCTATCCTAAACATTCATTCGAGTTTCGAATGCAGAGTTTTGATGAAGTGGTGATACAAAAAATAAAAGGGGAAAAAAAACATTGCCATTGGCGCATTTAAGATATTATTACATTATTACGAAAAAGTATACATTTTGCGAATAATCGGTCCTTCGAGATCATAGTTCGCGAGGACGACAATGATCGACACGAAACTCTTGTTCCCGGGATATTCTTTCGCAGGCGTTGTCGATTCGATAACGTCCCGTTAAAGTTAATGCCTCGAGTTTTACCGCCTCATCGGA